CCTGCACCCGCGTGGGAGACCCGGAAGAGGCTCCTGGCTTCGGACCGGCATAGCATCGGCAGTTGCGCTCACTTGGGGAGTGAATCATTGGACGGAAGATCTTCCTCTCTGTCTCTCCTCTCTGTATACCCGCCTTTCCAATAAAAAAAATAATTAAAATAAATCTTTAAAAAAAAAATACACACAGCAAATTCTGCAAAATTTGGAATCATGAGGTGAGGAATTCAAGAGGTTTATGGTCTCAGCTTCTCAGAACTAGAGTCCACAAAGAAAATCAGAAAATGAAAGGGAACTATTCTCTCAACACAGTTCTCTGGGTGCACTACTGCTCTGTCTGGGCTTCGAACAGCTGCAAGTATGCTGTAATCACAATGACCCAAGAAATTAAAAAAAAAAAAATCCTACATAATCTGCTGACTTAATACGGTTAGCAAGCAGGCCATTTGAGAGATAAAACTTTTATTAACAGTTGAATGATGCTAAATTTGATTGGATTCACAGATAACCACCATGTTCTTGTAAACATTCTTCCTGGAGAGAAATACTGATATTCACAAAAATGACACATTGTTTAAATGCTAACAAATAAACCCCAAATCAAAGCAGTCCTGACCTTTATCATAACCACTCTAATGATATAAAACCAAACACAGAGTTTAACCGTCATGCAGGTAGAGGGATTCATTCAAATGGTCAAACCTCTCTGGTGGCTGCATTAGCCTCCTTGGCTATCTCCACTAACAAAAATAATTTGGTGAATACCAGAACGTTGCTTTGCTTTATGGTCTTGGGGTAAGCATGCGTTTTATTTTCCACACTGTATTACTTGTTAAAGAGACACAGTCCTGAAAACAACTGTGGATTCCTAGGCCAAACCCTGTCCTGTACAGAGAGTCTGAACTGATCCAAGTCTCCTTCACTGGTTTTTCTAAAATACAATTGTTCTCAACTCAGGAAAACTAAAGAGAATCTGCTAAGATCTGTAACTGCTGTTCTATTCTAGATCAAATGAAAACCCAAGAAAAAAAATAATCTTTCAAGGTGAAATTCATGACAAGTCAAAAAATCCCACAATGAGTTCAATGTTCCCTGAGTCTTTTTTTCCATCTCAAACTGCATGTAATCCCCTATTCCAACGAACACACTGGCTGGTACAGGTTAAGGATCCACAAGGATGCCAGTTACTAATTTTGGAAATGCACATGCAAAAGATGATTTTCTGTCACTAAAAGCTATTCTTCCATTTCTATCATGCATAATAAACCAACTATGATAAAACGTTTACAAAACAAAACAAAAAATGTAGTTCAACATGAGACACTCCCTGCTAAATCAATACTGTAATACTTTTTTAACCTTACAGGTTCATGAAGGGCCAAAATGAATTTAATGAGCAAAACAATCAAGGGTATCTCCTTGGAGTGCTGAATGATGTAGACTAGAGAAGGTTTCCCCCATATGGAAAGGCAACAGACACATCATAAGCATTTATAAACTCGGGATAGCATACACACTTTCCCGTGGGAAGCTCAACTTGACAGAACTCCTACTTTTACAACCTGATCTGAGGGCTAAGAGCTCCCCCATAAAGATGATGCAAACGCCCTAATGCACAGCACATTAAGCCCTAATGAAACAGCAAAGGCTGCGTTGTTAATGCAAGCCTCCATTCAGCGCTGGTTTAAATATAAGCATAATAAAGCAGATTAAAAAGAAAGAAGCTATAATTACTTTTTTAAGAACTCAATCTCTTGTCCTATTATTGGGTCTACCTATGAACCTCACAGGCTGAATACAGATAGTAAAAATCACATGAAGAGTTTGCCAATCATGCCAGATCCATTATTTTTTAAAAACATCAACAGAACAACTGATAAAGCAAACAGCAAAAATGAGATAGTGGGGGAACCAATCCAGGCTCCATAAATTATCTCTGATCCGACCATTATCTCTTCTTCTATTTTCATGGCAAAGCACCTTCTGATTTCAGGGGTAGGTATTCTAACCCTGTGCGGGGAGTATGTTCCAGTCGCATGGTGACCAGTTAAAGCAACCTCCATCATCCTGCTTGAAACTCTAGGTAATATGCAATACAAGGAAACACTGCTGTCTGGCACTACTTTTACAAAATTACAATCCTGTGAATAGGTTATTTGTGAATAGGTTATTTGTGATATATTTTATAAAGAAATAGTTATTATCAGTGCAAGTATTGCCAAATGTCAGTTTTCCCTCGAGCTATACACCAAATTATCTGATCGTAGAACTAGAAATTCTAGAAATTGTTTAAACTACTTCTTTTACCAAACTGTATATTCTGCATTTGCACTCAACTTAGTTCAAATTTTTTAAAACACTCATGTCAAACCAAAATGCAGATCAAAGCCACAGGGTTCTTTAAGTTCTTTACTTCTGGCTTCTGTTCCTTTTTTCTTGGCCTAAAATGTCATAAATCTATCATTAACCACCAACTGCTCTGAAAAGTAGAAAAAAAAAAAACTGAAGAAAGCAAAAAGACAAAACAAAAAGCTAGTTCAAATGAAAAAGATTAATGAATTGTTCATCTATTACTTCAATTAGGTCAAATTATAGCTCTATACAAGTAATTCTCGAAAGAGAATGTCTACAATAATCATATTTAATAACATGTTTTTTATCAGAAAACATATAAGCCATTCGAAGACTACCTATATTTCTGACAACACTGCATTAAAGAAATTCTACCATCAGCATTTTATCTCCACAGCTTTTAGTCTGCACATAGTTCAAGTATCAAGGAAAGAACCTCTGAAATGGCATTTCAACAACACCAATGTGTGGGTAAAAAGAGGAATTTCAGATATGCTTTTATTACATCAGGATGCTACCAACATCCTTGGCCATGCTTGTGCATCCATATGCGGCATATGCACACGGCACTCATGACTAGCGCTTCCCCTAAAAGTATATTCGGTGTTTTATTTTTTTCAAAAATCGAAGTTTCTTAGACTATGTTGAAATCGTATCACTCCTTCAAAACAATAGCTCATTTTTTCCAAAGATCGCTTTTTTCTATTTTTAGTAATATTATTTCTCCTTCCAAAAAAACCCCAATCTTAATAAGATTATCTCCCAGCATGCCATCTCCTACCACTTCTGTCTTCCTTCCTGTGCGTTTCCTGCAGCAGTTTCATAGACGGCCTCGTCTAGGATCAGCTGTTTTATTTCTAGTTCTATTGGTTCATCCGCAGAGAGCTCACACATCTGTTTTATTTCGAAAATCACTGCCCAGGAAAAGTGTTCTCTCCAAACATAAACTTTACTATAAATAACTAAGAGCCTAACAAATAACTGTTTGGGGGAAATGGAAGTGTGTTTAAAAAATCTGAATTCTTCCAAACTATAGGCCTTAGTAATCTTCATTTTAGAGCCTTCCTGACAGCCGAAATCAGCTTCCCTCAGAAGTCGTCCCCAGAGTGAACAAACAAACTCCTGCCGGAAATCCAGGTATTAACATCATATTACTTGCTAATTATAAAATACCGTTTCACATACTGACATTATTCACTTCCAACCCTTTTATCTAAAACACGTATTTGCTTTCCAATCACAGTTTGACAGCCGAGTGTATCTGACATAAGACAGTGAAATGATCTTTAATAAGACAGCAGTTCAAAGCCTGTAGCTTTCATGCATAATAACCATGTTGGCTTAATTTGCTGCACCACGGCAATAATTCTATTTGTGGAAATCCAAAAAGTGAGAGGAAATTTTCAGACAGCTTTACCAAGATGAAACTGGATTCTTATAGTTTTTCCTTCTATTCCCGACAGAGTGATAAGTTTATGTTCCAGACATTTACAGGACATAGGAATTGACCTACTGATGCTTCTTGTAAGTATTGAAAAAAATATGTCCACTGCCTGTTACTTACACCTTCTTTGCCAGTTCTTCTTAACAGACACTAGTTCAACAGAAAGGTCCAGGGCAAAGGCACTGGTGACAAAAATGACTGATTTTTGAAAGGGAGTCAGGAGCTTAAATTTGTATGAGATGACCTCACTATTCCTACAGTACTTCTCCTGGTCATTTCTAAAGAAAGCTAATCTTAAACCTAACATGCTCCAAAATCCCCCGGCCTAATAATATAATAAAAATCTACAGACTGTAGCAAAACGAATACATTTTCTCTCAAGCTGGCTATGACTTCTGACAATGCTAAAATTATATGAACGTATTTCCTTAGATTCGGTTCCATGTTGCATTCTTTTTGAAATGCTTACAGATTTTTTTTTTTTTTACATTTGATATATACCATAAACAACAAAAAAAAGGCTGAAAAGTAGATCAAAAAGGTATGCTGGCTTTAATAAAAATATAACCCTTAAATTACTGCTGTGTCCATAAATTGCCATTTTCCTTAAAAGCAGAAAGGAATGCTTTGTGGGCCTGCACCAAGGTCCTTCTGGTGTCCTTGGTACAATCACACTGACTTCATTTTCACCAATGTAAAATGCTTCTTCGATTTTTAGTTTGCGATCCTTTTGCCTTTTCAGGACTATGCGCCTGTAACTATCACCATAAGCCAAAGCTGCTGGAGCTGACCGTAAAAGCAAATCCTCCAGGAAAGATACTCAGTGAAGGAAAGGTTACAGCAAAAGTCTTACGATCTAAAATTAGAATGAGTCATGAATTACTCTCACGCACAACCATAAAGATTAGTGCCATTTTTGGAATACTGAGAAAACATGAAATTACCATGAAATGAAGCCTGAAATATGAAGCCTAGCTAATGCCATGAAAAGACTCCCCACACCAACAGAAATGTGGGGACTGCTCTCAAGATGAGAGGTTAAAGACAACTTTGAATTTAGATGGAACCGTGGCATGTGTCCATCCCTCGGGCTGGCTCTAGAAGGTTACCCAAGGGGTATTGTGCCCTTGGATTTATTATGCCCATAAGGACTCACATTCCAACACTAGCTACTTTTGCCAAACAGTTTGCAACACAAAGCACAAACCTGCACGTCATAGGTCCCATTGAGTAAAACAGGCCTTGAAGAGTTGATGTCCTGCAGCACACCGGAAAGCACAGAACGGTTGACCTTCTGGAAGTCTTTGGAATGGCTGAACTGCACCATGTTATGAAGGGCCAAGATTTTGCTGTCCAGCTCAGCATCCTGCCTGGTGCGGTTATGCAGTCCTAAGTGATACTTTCGGAAGTGCTTAATCAGATCTGTGGGGTCGTTGCCATAGTAACCATAGCCACAGATATTGCATTTAAAGTCCTGAAGCTCTGGAGACAGAGGTGCCGGATCTGGGTTATCATTCACCAGGAACTCAGTTTTGGATTTATTTAGTCTTACACCCCCATCTGAAGGCACTTGTGGGTTTTTTGAGGCCACTGGAACTGGGCTTACACCTTGGCAATTGGCTTGACCACTCTGCACTTGCCCTGTTTCCTCGGTAGCCTTTGGTGACATCTTGTGATCATCCTTTGTCTCCAATGAATCCCCGGATGGGGTGCAGGCCATGTCTGCAGGGTCATCTGCCTCTGCTCTTTGAGGAGACTTCAAGGGCTCACAGACTCCCCCAGCAGCCGGAGATGAGAAAGCCAACATATTTCTGTCTGTCACCTCATCGTGTGGGAAGGAGGGAAGACTCCCTCCCTTACTGGGGCTGTCATAATTGAAGCCAGCCTTCTCACTCTTCAAGTCCTTCTTGCTGCTAGAAGACGCATCTTGCACATGCAAGCCAGGCTCCTCCTGGTTGTTCAGCTCTGCAGCATCACTCTGATCCGTGGTTTCTGACATCTGACCTGCAGAAAATTCTTTGCTCTTCCCAGACACTTTGCTCTCTGTACCTAAAGGCTCGAGGCTCTGGCCCTCGCCTTCGCTAGTGACGTTTCTCAGAGGGGGGTTCTTTTTCCGGACCATATCTGTAAAGACACAGGCAAAAGGCAGAAGCACCATTAATTCAAAGTTACAGGGATGGGATCAACCTAGAATATTTTACTAATTCAATATCTGTGAGGTGTGCAATTTATTTGTTTTTAAGGTAAAATCAGTTTAAAAAATACCAAAAAAAAAAAGAACTTTCAGACTACAGCAAGCAATTTACACTTAGAATTTCATTTTGTCACAAAGAGCAGCCCATTCATTCTTTATAAATTGTTTTATGAATACTAAGAGTCTCATTATCATTAAGAGGCCCGTCTTTCCTGTTATTTATTCTTTTCTGTAGATTACATTTTTGTGCAATTTCTTTCTTCAGTTAGAGTTGGTGACATGTGTACATTTATATATTTACACACGATTATGTTACATATAATGTGTATACACATTCTGTTTACAGAATAGATTCTTGTTCAGTTTTTAAAAGTATATATATGTATATATATATTATGTGTTTATCTGAAATGCATATGTGCATGTAAATAACATAAATTGGAATTCCACATTGCTATACTATCAGACAAGGGTATAAATACAGGTTCAACCAGAATTTTCACGGTCAAAAACAAAGAAACAGCCGCGTTATAAACAGTGAAAACTGGCCCCAGAACCTTCTAGAAATGGAGGATGAGTAACATTTCAGCGTTGACCTTGCACATTTGAAGCCACATTTGAGGTTGGCATCATGGTGTCAGGTCAGGATTCCAGCTAGTATTAAGGGAAAATCTATAAACCTTACAATTCTCTACAGAATCTAACAAAAATCATGCAAAAGCCACCATCAGGAACACACACTCCAAAATGACTGACGTAAAATACAAAATGCAGGCTAAGGTCACTGCCATTTTTTAAAAGATTTATTTCTATTATAAAGATAGATATAGAGAGAGGAGGAGACACAGAGAGGAAGATCTTCTGTCCATTGATTCACTCCCCAAGTAGCCACAGTGGCCGGAGCTGAGCCGATCCAGTGCCAGGAGGCCAGAGACTCTTTTGAGACTCCCACATGGGTACAGGTTCCCAAGGCCTTGAGCCATCCTCTACTGCTTTCCCAGGCCACAATCAGGGAGCTGGATGGGAAATGGAATTAGAACCGGCACCCATATGGAATCGCAGAACATTCAAGGCAAGAATTTTTGCCATTAGGCTACCACACCGGGGTCTGGCCGTTGCCATCTTATAGCTTTAAATTTTAAAACTATGCCAGTTTTCTTCTCTGGGACTCACCTCTATACACTAGCAGGACTGTGCCTTTCAAGTTCATGGCATCAGTAACTAGGATCAAAATACTAATGCTGTGACAAATTCCTCTACAGGACTCTAAAGTGAGTCAGGACTCAAAGGATATAGAGAAATAAGAAAAAAATGTGTGTCATGTCAATGAACAAGCGCATTAACAAAGGACAGCTGAAGGCTGCATCCTGGGGCTGTGTCCCTTAGTCACTTAGCTGAGGCATCCAGCGCCATGCCAATCTAAGTCACCACCCGAAACATCTCTTGCAAAATTCCACCTGTGACTGTGCAGTAAAACAAGTCTTCTTTATGAGCCAACTGCGGCCTAAGGACCAATTTCAGAGAGCTAGGTATACCACGATTATCCAAAATGTGCTGAGAAAAGCTAAATTAATAACATGGTTTAGTTGTTTTTGTCTCTAATTTCTCTCGAGTGCTGAGGAGCCACACTGGCGCTGGACAGATGGGTGTACCCTACGCTGCTGAAAAGCTGGTCAAGCAAAAATGTTTATGGTGTGAATCATGGAACAAGGACAATGCACCAGTTATACAATCAGGAATCCTTCACAAGGTGGAAACCCACTCTGTCGATAATGTCAAAACGAAAACTGTACTTAAGAGAGTAAATGTTCTAATGCACCCATGATGGTATTCATCACATGTGCGTAGAATCTGCCTCCTCCTGCAACAACAACAGAAATTTCGCAGGATGAAAGACTGAAACTCCAGGGAAAGCCATGGAAACCAGACCCTGCGAAGCCTGACCCTCAATGGGAACAAGGCAAGAAACAGCTCACCCTAGAGTCGGTCCACCAGGAGCTAAAATTAACTAAACCAGGGAGCCAGCGTGAAAAAAGGGAAACATTGGTTAACCGTTGTGTTTTTCAATGTCTGCATCTAAGTGTCTTCTGAGTCCACATTCAAGTACTGAGAGACCTGCTGTTCCGTTTTCCCTTTTTTTTTCCAGAAGTGACTAAAGTAGCGTTGGGATTTTTTTTCACATTTGGAGGGCTGTATCCAACAAATGGGAAAAGACAAAGAAATAAAAGGAATAGTACGAAAGCTTAAGCAATTAAAAATTATCTGAAGTGTACATTAAGAAAAACATAGAGTTTTTACTAGGTTTACAGAAAAGGTTTCCAGGGTGCAAACCATCCAGTGTTTCAAAATGCAAACATGTGATGGCCTGGGATAGCACCATTTGCTTTTCCTTCCAGAATCTTCCTTCCCTCCCCCCCCCCCCATTTTAATGTAACTATCACAACTCAGTCTTTCCTTGTACAAACACTAAGACATTGTAACATTCTCTCCTTCCTGTGACTAAAAGCTAACAATGACTCAGCTGCATGAAATAAATAAGTTTACATATGAAAAAAGGCTAACAATTCACGCTCAAAAGAAGACAGTATGGAGAATCCGGGAAGAAATAATGCACAGTGGAGAGAAAATGTTGATCTATGGCCACATATTAATGACAAGCTAACTGAGAAACGGTAACAGGTTCATTATCAAGGGAACTAAAGCAGAATACTTAAAAGTTGAGTAGATTCAAATGCACTAATATTGAAAAAAACCAACTTACTTTTCAGAATAAAGAAAGGTTTTAGATCTTGCTTATTTACTGCTATCATGAAGAGACGGAATGGGTCACAGTTTAAAAACTACTCACCCAGCATCTTCAGTGCCTGGGAGAAAATATGACTTAATTACATTATCATCTCTGCAAATTTCAGTTCCTCTTCCACCCAGAAACAACTTTTAGAACGCCTATGACTCACTGACTCCTTATGCCGAATGAAGCCCTTAATAATATACATTGCAAAGAATGTTCAACTGCTAAAACTTCAAAGAAGTTTCAGAAAGGTCACTTGAGCTTTAATTTTTGTTATGGGGGCAGGGACATGTTCTTCTTAGTTGCTATTTAAAAAAAAAATCATTGTTAATTTAGTTGACTATACTTTGAAGTAGTTATAGAAAAAATAATTTTTTCTGGAATTATACCATCATAATTTTTCAGAGTGACATATTATGTAAATATAAGCACATTTGCAATACTTCTAAGTGGAAGAAACTCCTCTGGCAAGTCATAAGTTAGATACCATAAGACCATAGCCACCCTCAACTTATTATCTCTAAGACAAATAACAGATTGCATGATGTTTTGCTGTGTGCCAAGAACTTTTCCAGTTAACATTTTCACTTGAAAAAAATCAGATCACAGACTTGTAAAATCATACCCAGCATTGGCTTCACAAGGCATGTGGCTTTAGAGTGCTTTCTACAATTATTAACTCTATTAGTCAACTAGCAGGAGGCTAATGCAATTGTCTTAGACTCGGAAGACACGGAACACATTTGAGAGCTCATCTGTACATCTGTAAAACAAAGCAAAACACATATTTTTTTTTCCTTCCTACATAAGATAAACCTACTTGAATGGATGACACCTAAAATATATGATTCTGCCAGCACCACCATCAGCTGCTTGAAAAATGTCTCATAAGAAGCACGAGTAGACCTTGAGCAAAGATGCTCTCCCTCCCCTGGGCTTTCATAAACAGCAGAGGCAGCATGATGGAAAAGATTACAGCAAGGAGTCATTTTTGAACAGACCATGGCGTGGTGAAATCATATAACCTCTAAAACCCCTCAGTCTAATGACTATCAACACTCACCTACCCTGGACAGGGGGAAAAGATCTTCATTTGTAAAAGACTGACACACTAGCAATGGCTTTCCCATAGGGAGAATTTCCAAGCAAGTGAAATATATAATCACGTCAATGCATGAGTAACTCCATTTTAAACCTGATCATTCTTAGCAACACAGCAATATGCTTCAATTAAAAAAAAAAAAAGCGAAGGGGATGGGAAAGGGAAAGGAGAGGAGGGGAGGGAAGGGGCGGGGAGGGCAGGGAAGGTAAGGGATGGGAGAAACAAAAACAGCAGCAGACACCAGTGAAGGCAGAGAAGCTGCAGAGAGTGCCAGAAGTCACAGGACTAACAGGGGACCTAGGCCTGAAGTACCAGGTTCGGAATGGCTCACCAATGTCCTGTACCACAATCCAAACACTGGACCTTCAGGGCTAAAGCTGAGCCTATCCACAGTCACAACATCTTTCCCCTCACAAACATGTGAGTGCTCCTGCAACAGCCCTATAGCAGGACAGCTAAGATACCTAAACAGGTTAAAAAGAGATTTAGCCTACCCGAAATGCTCTGTTTGCATTCATTTCCATGGCTGAGATATGACATTCTAACTGTAGAGAAATCTTGCATTTCTCCTTCAAATTTACCAGGTTTCTTTCAAAATTAATATTTAAAGCTAAAGGTTCCTTACAAAAAAATTTAGCAATCAACTAAATGATAAAAAAGAAAACTATAAGTGAGTATACCTTTTCTATGTTATATTATAATTTTGAAAGATTTATATAGAAGGAATAATCGGCATTAGAAGTAAAATTATCCACTAATGATTCAGTTATATTTCATACATACAAATATAGGTATGTATATAAATACACAAACATATTTATGAAATATTCTTACTCCAAATATGCTGGCAGAAGATGACTACATAAATTACTCAACTGAGGAAATTACTAATTAGTGCAATCATTTAAGAAGGAAGCCGAGGAGGTAACTATCTGGCCCAATGGCCAAGACGCCAGTAGGAATGCCAGCATGCCACACTTAGTGCCCAGAATGAGTCCCACATACCTCCAGATTCCAGCCTCTTGCTAATTTGCCTC